GGGAGCACCCTGCTTTTTAACCACCCTCAGGGGGAGTGGGGTTGGGGAAGCAGGGCAATCTGGAGGCCCTCAAGGGGTCTGATGGAACTGGGACTCATCACCCAGTACTGATAATGTATTTTCCATCACACTAAACAGGCTGGATATTTGGGGGGTATATACCAGCCTGGGTGATGTGTAACCATGGGAAAATGATTGGGACACATGGGTGGGTGCTGGAGCATGAATTTGTATGTGGGTAATTGTGGGTACCTACGTGAGTGCCCCTCATTCATGTGGGTACTGTGATAATGTGCATACTATTGTTCAACATTTCATCGATCTGTGAATGTGGTTATTATAGGTAAGACAGAATATATGTCAAATTGAGTGTTTGTGTGCCAGTGCGTAATGTGCAGACATCTATTTCTGAACACCTGTGCATATATAGTAGTAATCATGGCTATGTACTTGTGTGTGTTTGTGGGACTGAAGGCTTAGTTGTGACACCGAGAATACAGGACATGTATGATGTGGTTTTTGGACGTTTGTGCTTGAATACAATTGTGGAGACCTGTAAGGAAATCCAAACTAACTGGTTGTACCCATTGCACGACTATGACCTAAGACGATGTGTAGAACCCTACTGTGGTGCGACATTTATGTAGAATGTGTGTACCTCTACTGGAAGATAGTTATCTTATGCATACTGCCTGCGGGCTTCAGAGTGGCTCAGCTGTCACCCATCTGCACTGGGAAGTGTGCCCTGCGGGTGGGTGACAGAGATAACGCGCATCTCTAGGAATGCATGAATGCTGAAATGCTGTCTTGTGTGGATGTACATGTGTTATCCCAAGAATACACATACTTTGGGGCATATGAATATATGGACTTTCGTGTATGCTGGTGAGTTTGTGCGACCTGCTGTGCATATGTGTGCATGCGTAATCTTGGGCCGGGTGTGCCACTCTGAGAGTTTGAAAGTGAAGATCCTGCCTGGATTAGGACAAACGCTCGGTGTGTTTTGAGGACTGAGGTCCTTCTCCACATAGTAATTTCTCTCCCTACCCGACACTCAGGAGAGCCTCCAGGCCAGGGAGGCGCGGGACCCTGCAGAGCGAGGTGGAACTGGGCGCTCGGCGCTCCCTCCCCTTGAACCTCCCGCTCTGCTGGGCCCAACCCCGGCACTGCTGGCGCCAGGCGCCCGGGGAGAGCGGCGGGTTTCCAGCGAGCCTCGGGCAGGAAACCAGGACTTCCCTCCCCCCACGCACCTCTGCGGCCCACAGCCCCCCGAACCCCCTGTGGGGAACTGGCCTGCCCAGGACTAGGCGTTTGTCTCTTCTCCTGCGGTGCCCCCGACCCACCCTTTCCATTTACTCCCTTGTTCAGGAGAGGAAATAACACAGTATTCACTGGCTGTGGGACCCAAGGAAAATCGTTCATCTCCGGGCCCCGCTTTCTCTGTAGGAGAAAAAGGTTGGCCTTTCTCCCTCTGCCTTTGGACTAAGAGCGCCAGGCACATAGTAGGCATCAATATGAGACGGACAGGCAGGGAAAGGGCCTGGCCTGAGGGGAAATAGCGGAGGTCCGCGAAGCCAGGACGAGTAGTCTCTGCTCCACGGGTGGGAGATGCCTCGCGGTGCGTTTTCTCGGAGAGGAGCGTTTCTACCACTTCGGGAGCCCGGCGGCTGGCGCCGAGGTCGTGGTCCCCTCCGTACGCATGTACCCCCGAACGCTGATTTCTCGCGGTGTGAGCTTGGCACCGGTGTCTTTTACAGAATCGAGCATTCCCAAGCAGCGATGACTCGGGGTCGTCCAACGCGAGCCACGCTCGGGGCCCACTGTCCGCGTCTCGCGGAGGGCCCTCCGGG